TGGTCTCTGAGGCCATAGATTAGTGAACTCAGACATTTGGGGAGAACAATGATACAAATATAAAGAAAAACCTGGATACGCACGGCTTCAAGTCTCCCTAGATGCTTTGAAATAGCTATAATCACTGAGTAGTATATTGTTGAGGACACTGTGAGGCCCATTTGCAGCAGATGCAGTAGCAGGGTCCTTCGAGCCTTACTGGCGGATGCTTTGTCAGTGGAAGCTGAGTGAGCTGCTACCATGATACCAGTATAGGTGAAAACAACTGTTACACCTCCCAACACAAAGAAAAAATAAGTAAAAGTTTTTTGAAAAAGATCAGATGCTGGATCAAGAAAAACGCTCTCCTTTCCACAGAAATCCATCATCTGTGTGAGCTGCAGATCTCGAAATGAAAACCTTAATATTAAACTTAACTGTATTATGCCATGTAATAAACCTGTAATCCAAATAACACAAATAGCCACTCCTGTGTTCCTGATGGTGATGATGGCACTATGTCTGAGAGGATAGCAAATAGCAATGTATCTTTCTAAACACATAATCACCAGTGTGGCAATAGAGACAAAGAGTGTTAGACTGTTGAACACTATCAAAGCAGCGCATACAGGATACAGTAATGTCAGTCTGAAAGAGGACAGTAAAAACATTGACTGACTGTGTGCCAGCTGGACGGTATCTGCAAATAGAAGGTTAAACAAAAGAATATACCGAGAGGTCACTCGAAACACCTCCTTGCTTCTCAAAGTGTATAACATCGTAATGTTAATGAAAAGAAACACGGTGCACTGCAGTGTTGTCAAAGTGGACGTTGTCACTATCCCCAGGATCCCCTCACGCTGCAGATTAACAGTGATATTTAACTGTGTTCGATTATTGAGGATCATGATAAGTAAAATCTAAAAACAAGGTGAGGTAAATATTCATTACAAGCAAAATGGTCATTAGTCCTACATTACACAAACAGAATGGCAGATCTGATGCTCTAAGGTCTAACTTTCCATCATAAACTATTTATCTGATCGGTGCACACACCTCCCTCATGTCTCGCTAGTTCCTCGTTCTATCAGGTTATGTGACGTAGTTATCCTCAAGTACAACACCAACTAAGGGGAATAAACTTTTATAAACAACACATTATTATTAAAAAGATAAGGATTTTTTTTAGCAGTGCGGTTCATCATAAAAGCAGATTGTTTGTACTGTATCTATAATGGTGATGTCTTAATGATAGAGAATCTAAGCACCTGCCTGAATTTTAAACTTTTAAGATATTTTTAACCCATAGGTTTAAATTTTTAACATCTTATATGTGTGCAACATAATAGAGATCTACATACCCATTCAATATAAATGTGGTGAAATGAATATTAATAAAAGGAGCTCTTAATTAAGAACATACAAGCAGAACTTCTTGTGGGCCGTTTCTCAATATGTGTACTTGTGCGTTCTCATGACCTTGTGAAACATCATCATCCTCAGCCCTAGTGCTGTTCCAATTCACAAGAACAGCAGACCGAGAACAGAGAAAGTCCCTGGATGTTGTTCTCGCTTCTCCCTATTTTTCGAGCGTGAATCAGAGCAGACTTGTCCGTTCTTGAGATTGACAGCTGTCCCAGCATGTACTGTGGCAGCAGCAGCTTTCAATGGAGCGCTCACAGAGCTCAGAGTATTAAGTTAAAAGTTCTATTTTCTGTTGCCGTTGTTCAATAAAAGTACGTTTTAAGATCATTTGAGACAAGAACATTGTACTTTTAAGCATCACTATATGGCCCATTAACCAATTTAATGTGTAATAAAAAAAAAAAAAAAATCAGAAGATTAGAGGACTGTGGCAACCAGCGGACCTCGAGGGTAATGGTAGTCATGTCTAATCCTAGCCCTTCTGCAGTAGCCCTCTCATCATAGCCGTGTGTAAAGGACCGCTGGCTATGATGGCAAGTTTTTTGTTTTATTTGGCTAAATGTTCATTTGATTTGTGTTTATCTGACTGCGTTTACTATTAATCCCCCGATAAAAAAGTAAAAATGTACTATTATCTAGAAACTGTTGGGATCCAGAGGCTTGCCCACCAGAGGGCGCCGAGGATCCCTTCCTGATGGTTTGTTCTTCTGTTGGGATCTGGGGTGCTGTCTACCTTCCTCCACCAGAGGGCGTACTGGATCTCCTGAACCTGGAGCTGACTTAACCAGCTGCTTCTCATCTGCTCATCAGGGGACCAGTACTTAGGTGGGCTGTGGACAACACTCCGGTGCCAGAGTGTTTTGCCAGTTATGGAAGAGCCTGTCTGAAATCAGAAACTCTGGAAGAGTTTCTCTGTCAGAAACCTGTCTGTCTGACTACTGAAGAGTCCTGGAGATCAGAAACCCAGGAAGGGTTTCTCTGTCTGAAACTAGTCTGTCTGATCAAGGAAGAACCCTGGAGAATCAAACCTGTCAGCCCTCAGCCTGCTGCCAGCCTCTGGACCCTCCAGGTTTCCCCCCTCTGCCACTCTACTCAAACCTCTGAACAGATGCAAACCTGCGTCCAATCTACCAGCAAGATTACCCGGCTTCTGCTAACCATTCTGTCCCCCTCTGCAGTGAGAAGCAGTCGTGACCAGTCCTGGACCAGATAATCCCCTGAACCAGTTTTGTATTCAACCTGTGTGTATAAATAAACCTTTGAACTTTTTCCCAGTCTCAGAGTGTTTTCTGCATGTGGGTGATGTCACGAGTACGCCTTTGTACCAATTGACCCAATGCTCCCAGAGTCCAGACATTACCGTGTTCTCCTAAAGAACATACTTGGCGAAGACACGAGTTCTTGTGAAATGAGATAGGGCCATGGTTTTTCTTCGCTTCCATGCCCGTGGGAAGTGGGGATGCTGCAGCACCCCCTAGTGATGAAAGGGAGTGATGGGGAGGCATGTAGCAAAAAATAACAAATATGTAGCCAAAAAAAAGGCCCTGAAAACAG